GATGCATTTAAGGTGTCTTTTATGGATGCATCTTACTATAACCGAAGCGCTTCAACATTTTATCAATGTACTCCTCTAAAGTGAGTGTTAAAGTGTGATTGCATCTGTCTCGCTTTATATTCATTCCTAAGAATGTTTTAGGTTCTCCCATGTTAGTTATTTCAAATTCTAACTCAGTGAATTGAAAAAAATAATTTTTTAAATGCAGTCACTTATCGCTAAAAAATTTGAAAGATTGCTTATTACAATATTTCTAATGTTAAAAAAAATTTCTAGCCGTTAATTTTTGACCGTTTCCGAGAAATAAATTGTACAAAGGGCCTAAAACCTGATTTCCAGACCTTTTTAAACAATTCTCGCAAAACAAGGTAAGCATTGTTTAAAACAGCTGGCAGTATAGTTACAGGTTTATGGGCTTCAAATAAATAACATGTGTCAATTCCAGCTGTTTTTTGTCATATTCAAACCCGTTCTTTTTATCCAGAAGATGTTTTAATTTCAGTACTGCGGGGGGTATGTATTAATTTTAGTACAGTACTGAAATAACTATGTATTAGAATTAAGAAAAATAGGTTTAAATAAAATTAGAAATAAATAGGACTGACATTTATTTTTTATTGGGATCCCGTCAAGCAACAACTGCTAGCCGTTTTAAGAAATGTGAGCTTTATTTTGAAAATATTGTTCGAAAAGGTCTTGAAACTTGGGTTTTTGACACTTTGTACAATTTATTTCTCGGAAGCGGTTTATCATTGATAGCTGGGAGTTTTTTTTGCATTAGAAATATTGTAACAAGCAATTTCTTAAATTTTCAAGTGATAAAGTGTGAGCTAGAAAACATTTTTTTTTAAATTATTGTTTACAAGCAAATTGTATGTTCCGGTTACAAAAAAATTTTGTCATATAAATACGGTATACTGTTTCATAATACTGCTATTTGGTTCGGGAAAGTAACTAAAAAAAACTTATATTATTCTCTCCGCTATATTTTCGATCCAAGCAAAGTAGGGATATAAGTGTGAATCTAAGATAAGGTTTGAAATGATCCCAGAAATCTAATTGCGTGCTTCAATATATGCAATACCGCTCGAGATTTACCATTAGAACACTAACATTATGACGGAAATGTTACAAAAAGATAACTTTTTGATATTTAAAGGTATTTTATGACAGATTTACATTTATATACAACTACATTTAGGATTCCTTATTTACAATGGTAAGAGAATGTTGCCTGGATTTAATTTGTTATATACAACCATTGTAGTATTTGCTAGAGTGTTATTATACTCTATATAAGCCGCGAAGGAAGATGCGGGCTCCTTATTAATGAAAAACACTCAGCACTATTTATTATATCAACACCTTTGTTTACTATCTTTTCTAACTTATACAAACTGTTTATTTTAGCTTTCTATGTAACTTATTATTATTAAATACAATACAATAAAAAGACTTATAAAGACAAAATAAAGTAAAACACAGAGTTGATGAACTGTTGCACGCGAAGAAAAAGAAAACTTTTGGAGACAACCGAGTAGCTCGAGGATCAGCACAAGAGAGAGAGATCGGCCGAAGCTCATGCTCGTTTGCTGCTGCGTAAGCTACTACTTTACTGTTATTTATATTTCTAGCTATCCTTCCATCAGAGCTATCTAACTGTAGTTCGATTACCCAATAGGGAGATTTGTATATTCCTGATACGAGTGTTTNTGTAACTTATTATTATTAAATACAATACAATAAAAAGACTTATAAAGACAAAATAAAGTAAAACACAGAGTTGATGAACTGTTGCACGCGAAGAAAAAGAAAACTTTTGGAGACAATCGAGTAGCTTGAGAGTCAGCACACAAGAGAGAGAGAGAGCCCGGCCGAAGCACAGCTGCCAGTAGGTGATTGCAAAGGCACTTCTTACCGTCAGCTGTAATCATGACTTACTAGATGTCGCCACCGCGTGACCTTTGGTTTGATCGGGTTAATGCACCGTACCAACTCTGACACTCCCTCCTACGGAAGACAACTCGATCTTCTCCACTTAGTTACTTGTTTCTATCAACATAGTTAAAACTTATTCACAATCATATTAGTGAGTCTAGCATGAGTTTCAAAGGGCAGAGATTTGGTCATAATATCTGCAATTCGCTCCTTTGATTCTATCCAACTTATTCTAACTAGGTTTCTAGCTACACATCCTCTAACATAGTGTTCCTTAACATCAGTCATATGCCTAAGCTTATCCCTTCTGATTGATATTTTGTAATCACATATGTAGTTTCATCTGTATTTTCACTTGTAAAGTCAGTTGGAATTCTACTTGGAATTTCACTTGGAATTCCACTTTGAATTTCACATGAGATTTTGGATTAGAAACTTTAAGAGTCATTCCAAGTGGTATTCCAAGTGGAATTACAAATGACCACTGAAGATACATTTTTTTTTTTTTTAAATAGTCCAAATTAAAACTACAAGCAGAAAAATAGCCATATTAGATGTTATCATCCATATAGTAATACCAAATCAGAGAAGTTCAAGTATTTGTTCTCAGATTTCGAAAAAATGGTTTTTTTTTATTTTTTGTTCAAATTTTCTTGAAATGACTTGAACCCCTCTGCTTAGTTGTCACTATATAAATGATAACACCTTATATGGCCATTAAGCCGCTTGAAATTTTAATTTTAATTATTTTAAAAAAGGAAAAAATGTACCTGTAGTGGTCATTTGTAATTCCACTTGGAATGCCACTTGGAATGACACTTGGAGTTTTAAATCCAAAATCCCATGTGGAATTCCAAGTAGAATTCCAAGTGACTTTACAAGTGTAAATACAGATAAAATTACATATGTGATTACCAAATATCAATCAGAAGGGACTACTGTTACTAACTTGACTACTAGCTTCAACTGCTTTATTGTCACACCATAGAGTCATGGGCAAAAAGGAACTTGGAAGAATCAATGATAGTGAGTTTTGTAAGGAGACCATCACTTGACAAGCCTCACTCATTGCAACATATTCTGCCTGACATGTTAATAAAGCTACGTATGACTGTTTGTGTGTTTTCCAGGCAACTGGATCACTATACAGACTAACTATTAATCCACTTGTCGTTAGGGATCCTTTGCAATCAGCAAAGCTAGCGTCGGAAAATCCCTGTAAATCGTCTAACTTCCCTCTGAACGTAATTCCTAGATTCCTTGTATGTTTGAGATACCTACAAACTCATTTTGCCATTTTCCATTCATTCCCTGTGGGACTGACTTGGAGTCGACTCAAAACATTTACTGCATATGTTATGTCGGGACGAACCATGTTGGCCAAGTACAAGAGAGATCCCACTAACTCTCTTTACGGATCTTTGTTGTTTGGATTCATATCTCACTGCTTGCTAGCTTGCTCTTTTGTTTTATCATCTAGCTCTTCTCTATCTCGCCTTTCTTTGTTTCTCATCTGATTCGTAGTCATTTTATGGATGCATTTAAGGTGTCTTTTATGGATGCATCTTACTATAACCGAAGCGCTTCAACATTTTATCAATGTACTCCTCTAAAGTGAGTGTTAAAGTGTGATTGCATCTGTCTCGCTTTATATTCATTCCTAAGAATGTTTTAGGTTCTCCCATGTTAGTTATTTCAAATTCTAACTTTAACATTGATTTCGTTTCATTCAACTTACTAGCATTATTACTAGCCATAAGTATGTCATCAACATACAGTAGGAGCATTAAAAAGCTGTCGTTTTCTTTCCACGTAAACAGACAAGGTTCAAGCTCGTGAGATTTTTAACCAAGTTTCACTGCTACTTCCCTGAATTTCTCATTGCAACATTTTGGACTGATTTTTAAGCCATACAGGGCACGTTTTATTTCGCATACTCTATCTTTCTTGGTTTCTATCTAGCTTTCGTACCCTTCAGGGATTTCCATGTAAACCTCGTAGTCTATCTTTCCATTCAGGAACGCCGTTCTTACATCTAACTGGCAGGTGTGTAGATCGAACTTATTTATGATGGCCAATGCGGATCTTATGATCTGCATACGCGAGACAGGCGAGTCAGTTTCACTCAGTTGATATTCATTTCTATCTTTGAATCCTCGTACTACGAGTCGAGCTTTGAATCTAACTTCGCCGGCATTTCCAATTTTTCTTTTAAATACCCATTTTAAGTTAATTATATTGGGTTTATCTCTTCCAGCTGTCTTTCGTCTGTCCACTAATGCCCAGACGTTGTTTCTTTTCATTGATTCTAACTCTTCATTTATGGCTCTCTGCCATTCAATTCTATCTTTTGAATTCATGGCTTCTTTATATGTTTGCGGGTCTGTTTGGGTATCGATCAGAAATGCTCTACTAGTTTCAGTATCTAGCAACTTCTCTTCTATCTTTTCTGTCTTTTCTAGCGTTTGTGGATTTCTGTCGAGCATCTTTGGCCTCCCTCTTTTTCGTTTTGCTCCCTCCGTTTCTAATAAGGGCTGTTCACTTTCCTTTTCAAAAATAGTGAACCAAGATTTTCTATCTATCTCATGCAGTGGGTTTGCCCAATCTTTAATGCTGTTTTTATAATATTTATCTCCATATACTAACTTTTCGTTAAATCTAACATCTCTACTTTCATAAAATTTTCCATCCTCTGGCTTCATGAACAGGTATCCTGTTGGTTTGTAACCAACAAGGATAACTCGTTTGCCTAGCGGATGTAACTTAGGCCCTGTTCTTCTTTGAACTTTGATGTAAGCCAAGGAACCAAAACGCTGTATTCTATCTACATTAGTCTCTGAGTCCGGTTTTAATTTCAAAAGAGGAGGTATCATATCGTTTGAGATGTGTGGTGTTCTATTGTATAGATACACTGCCGCACTTAGTGCAAGATCCCACATAGTCTCGGGCAGTTAGGTATCGTACATAAGAGATCTAACTTTTCTTTGTATATTTTGATTCCATCTTTCGGCTACTCCGTTGTGCTCTGGTGTGTCGGGGCTCCCTAGCTGTAATTCGGCTCCTTACTTTTCTAGAACTTCTAACGTATAACCACCTGTAAATTCTGTACCTTGATCGCATCTTAGATAACACATTTTTTCATCTGTTCCTATCAAATTTCTAACACTTCTAATAAATGCCTCTAAAAATTTACCAGATTCTGATTTATTTTTCATTGGATATGCCATGGCTACACGGGAGTAATCATCCACAAATACTGATATAAACCTATGGCCTTTGGGGTGACTTGCTGGACTTATAGGTCCCATCAAATCTGAAAGTACTATCTGTAATGGTCTTGCTGCTCTATGTCTAACTTGTTTAAACGGTAATTTATCGAACTTTGAAACAATACAGACTTCGCAATCCTTAATTGATTCATCAAATTTAGTGTCTTGCAAATCTTTAATCATGGGGAATTTCTTCTGAAATTCTTTCAAGTACTGAAGTGATGCATGACCTAGTCTAACATGCCAAAGCATTCCTTTATTCACATAAATTAAAGTATTAGAACTGGTGATGTCTTATTCTGATTTTAAGTCTTTACATTCTAAATCAGTTATATTACTTATTTTTCTGTCACATAATGTTTCATAAAGATCAGAAGACTTAGAGCTAAGCTCGTTAAGTTCTGATTCTGGACTTGTGTCAGTTTGCATTGTTTCGTCAATTGATTGAATTGCAGCTGAGCTTCTAGTATTATACTTATGCTCGTTTGCTGCTACATAAGCTACTACTTCATTGTTATTTATATTTCTAGCTATCCTTCCATCAGAGCTATCTAACTGTAGTTCGATTACCCAATAGGGAGATTTGTATATTCCTGATACGAGTGTTTTATTGGATATGGAGTAAAAAATGTCAATCATTGTTTTATCTAAATAGATACTTCATCCTTTGTCTACAAATTTTCTCAAGGATAGCAAATTTTCTGATAGTGAACCAGCATAAATTACATTGTTTAACTTGAGAGAATTGTTATCGCCTAATATTCCGCTAACCTGTCCAACTCCCTCCGATCTCATTATCGCATCCCCATTATTGTTGGCACAATTTATGACCAATTGTTTTGTCTCATCTAGGGTTTTAAAAATCAATCGGGAATTACTCATGTGTTCTGTGGCGCCTGAGTTAGCCAAAAATTAAACTAACTTGTCACTACTGTTCTTTGTCAGGTTTTCTAAATTATTACTAGCGTGGAGTACTTTGAACTCACCTTTGTTGTTAGTATTGCTTCCCTGATTCAGATTTTGGGATCCTTTACCACGACCTCGACCTTGACCACGACCTCTACCATGACCTCGAATATAATCTAACTTTGGCTTTTTGGGATCTGACGAGCTTTGGGGGTTTGAGTTTGAATTTCCTCGCTTTCTATTACCTCTGCCCCTATTATAGACATTATTTGAGTTGTTTACATACCCTGTTCTAGCTGCCACCGGCTTTCCTGTCATCTGCTCGACTTGCTCGTCTGTATACGGGCAGGTGGTGCTGATATGGCCCTCATATCGTCTGCACCGGTAGTACATAGCAGTCGTTCTTGAGCATCGGTCCAGTTGATGCCCTTTATTACCACACGTACTACAAATTCCTTGTCTTCTAGCTGTCGCAGTGAAAACTGCCGTTGGTGTTGTCTGAATTTGGGTATTTTCTGCCCTATCTCTTCTAGCTGCTTCCTGCTGTACAATATATGTTTTTAATTGATCAATTATTAATTCCTTACCGGTCGAATTTTTATTTATGAACTGAACATCTCGAATATTTGGTAAATGAGTAACTATTGCTTCGAAAAATGCATCTTTAACTTTAATTTCGGACAATTCTGTAATATCGGGTAGATTATTATATGTTCTAACTATTTTATCGAACTTATCCCAAAATGTGGAAGCTGTTTCCTTACTGGGATTGAATTTAATGTTGTACAGTTTCCGTTTAAGTCCTGCGGAGGATAGTAACTCCTCACTATCTTTTAATTCTTTTATTTTACTTAAAAGTTCTTTGGGATCGCGGATGTGTGCTACTTTAGTATGATAAGTCGGATCAATTCCATTAATTATTATGTCTCGTACCCTAGCTTTATCTTTTTCTAACATTTCTTCATCTAACTGTTTACTGGATTAAATTTTTTCATCAATTACGTATAGCAGATTTCCAACTAGCAGTTCTGAGTTCAAGTAATCAAAAAATGGGTTTATGCTTAATTTTGACGTTAATTTATAATCGCGTCTATTAGCGGTCTCACGGCTTACTACTTCTACTTGGATTTTATTTTGCAAACCGGATTTATTTAGGTTGTACTTTGACAATTCTTCACGAATAGTTTGACTAAGTAAAGCTTTGTTTAGATTCCGATTGTTCATATCAAATGCAATATCTGTATCTATGTTATTTCCTGCACCCTTGGGACTGGATGAGGGTAATTTTATTTTATTATTTTTTACCTGTTCTAGCTGATATTGGTCTTCTAACTACTCCTGTCTTTTCCACGTTTGCACTTGGGTCTCAATCCTCTCTAGCCTTTCCTTTAACTCGTTGGTATTTTGTACAAATGTTCGAACTGCCTCATCTAACTTTTTAAGCACTTGAGTCCTCTGGGCTGTACTTTCTTCCTCCGACTTGTCTAGCTCTCCTTCCATTCTAGCAATCCTATCCTATAGATCTGTAGGTGAATTAATTTCGTTTGAGTTTACTTTAATCATCTTAATAGGTGTGTCATAATAAAATTGGAATCGATTTAAGTTTAAATCTGTCTTTTCATGCTGTAAAATTTTTATATTTGTACCTTTTATTTTTATCTTCAACATGTCGTATTTGGGGTTAATTAATTGTGCACTTTGTGCAAGCTCGCTTGTATCTAGCATATCTTCTAACTTCTCTTTATCTAACTGTGATTGGTCAAGAGTGAACGCGTCACTGATCGGGTCAATGGTCTTTTCTGATTGTGCACTTGGACTCTTGGACATTTGTTTTTAATCGAGTCTTTGACGACTCTCAAGGTTTCTTCCGAAATTGAGTCCTTATCTAAAAAAAAATTATGTGTGTATGTTTGAGTATATGAAATATGGTATGGATCAACTACTCTTGGCGAACATCAACCAAAAAGTGCAAACCCTGTACAAATTGAAGGTTCTTTATCCAGCGTACAACAACTGAAGTAACAACACCTTTTAGAGAAATGCAGCCGCTCCTCACAGTGAACATTAACCAGGAAGGCAGTGCTGATTCTTTTTGCTTTGCCGGCATCTTCTGGCGAACAACAACCAAGAAGTGTAACGAGCTAGCTATAAGACTCAAAACTTTAATCAAACGAAACTAACTTAACAGTTTTTCTAACTTTACCAATTTCATATGTCGTGCTTCCGCTTGTTATGATACACAATGTTTCCCCTTGTAAAACGGGATAGAAGAGCTCGTCAGGATGGCGCTCAGAAATACCCAGAGTCTCGTCTTGGGTTAGTAAAAATAGCTAGAGCGTTCTTTGATCTAGCATAAAACACATGCTATTTATTTTCTACTTAGCTGCATCGAGAAGAGAAAAATCAATCGTCAATTTCTAACTATCCACGGAGTTACACAGAAAAGAGAGAGAGAGGGCATATGTATAAAATCATCTATTTCTAAGTATACAATGAAAAATGCACCTCTTTCTCTCGACATGCGCGTGCACTTTATCGAAATGCTACGCGTCCTCCAATATGGTGGTCGCTTTCGCGAAACCTCGCTTTTTCTCCTCGTGTACGTATAAACACATACACACGCCTTCACGCGTCCAACGATTTCTCGCGCGAGTCGATACAAAAGAAAGAAAAAAATTTAACACCTAACCTCCATGCTATGAACTCGTGCTCTTTATTTTAGTGTTGTAAACTGGATCTACCTCTCGTCCTTGGATCAAACGCAAACTTGGGAGTCTGTTGGGACCGCGTGGCCATCTTCCTCTCTCTTTCGAGCCCTTTTGCCACCGACACACTCACGACACTTTCTATAACTTCGTGCTAGCTTTTTCTATTACATAAACTAGCTTAGGTGTCGTTCACTGGCACCCGGAGCCTCGCGTCCACCCGTGGCGCGCAGCACGCTCCCACGTGCGTCGTCTACAGGGCGCAGTGGAAACGTGCCTGGGCCCATAACCTGCTAGAGTTTTATTATACTCTATATAAGCCGCGAGGGAAGATGTGGGCCCCTTATTAATAAAAAAACACTCAGCACTATTTGTTATATCAACACCTTTATTTACTAGCTTCTCTAGCTTATACAAACCGTTTATTCTAGCTTTCTATCTAACTTATTATTATTAAATACAATACAATAAAAAGACTTATGAAGACAAAATAAAGTAAAACACAGAGTTGATGAACTGTTGCACGTGAAGAAAAAAAAAACTTTTGGAGACAACCGAGTAGCTCGAGAGTCAGCATACAAGAGAGAGAGCTCGGCCGAAGCACAGCCGCCGGTAGGTAATTGCAAAGGCATTTCTCACCGTGAGCTGTGATCATGACTTACTAGATTTCGCCACCGCGTGACCATAGGTTTGATCGGGTTGATGCACCGTACCAACACTGTCAGTATTAATCAGGAAAAATTCTATAATACTAAAAGAAGAATAATACAAGACAATTTTAATACTAACTAGAAAAATTTCTACAATACTAAAAAAAGGTTAAATGATTCTGTATGGTCGGGAATTCTTCAACCCGAAGTCATCCCACAGTTGATATTTTTCTTTCTTTTAATATTATTTACAGTCTCACAAAATTATACGTTAGAGTCTATTAGACACTCAAGATAATTGTTTATTTTAAAATACAACTCAATAAGTATACATAAATGTGCTTATAGCTAAGATTTACAAAAGTATGAAAGTATGAACGCGTGTTCTATCGATTTTAAGTTATGGACACTTTATTGTTTTTATAGTAACGGTGTGAAACTAATTTTTTATGAAAATCGGTAAATTAAACGACGTCGGGGCCCACGTGTAAGAGATAACGTTCGTTCGTTACCAATGCGAAAAGAAACCTCTTGCTAATCTCATTCGGGAGTGAAGACTCGTCAGCCAGGGCGCCACGATGGCTGCGGAAGTCGTTAACTACACTCGATCGAACAGAAAAGCTTCGACCTCACGGGCGTCAGCTAACGCACCGAACACGACGAATCGTGAGAGGTTTTTTAGAGCACCAAGTGCACCTTTCCGTTGTGCAGCAAGAACTTAATCAGAGAGCGCATTTGGACTGGCTCGGCTTGGCTCTGCCTAAGGCTCCCAAAGTCAGACGCATATACAGCTGATTCAAACACAGGTATACGCCGGCCTCCTTCACTATGTATATAGATTCTTTTTCCCCTACATTGTGTCTTATTTTTTACCATAAATACATGCCGTACAGATTCTCAGCTTATGCATACCATAAACGAATATATTTATTTAAAAGACTTCAATAACTTATTTATAGCTATAATAAAATCATTTATAATACATTTCCTTGCATAATAAAAACTACGTCAATAAGTTAAACTTTAAATACATTAAAATTCTCATTTAAGACATTAATAATACTGACTTAATTGTACATATAGGAACTACTTTTAATATCTTGCTAATGTCAACATTATGAATCATGGCTATTTTCAACAAAAATAAATACATTTATGTTCGTATAAAATATTACTTACTACAATACACAAACAAATCGTTTTTAAAAACAGTTGAATTACAATTTTACTCAATAACTTAACTAACATTGTACGAAAAACATTATTTATTAATAGGAATCAAAAAGGATATACACAGCGAAGACTTTGATGATAAAGAAACCCTTATAGACCAGAAGACGGGAACGAAATAATATGAAAACGTGCATTTTCCGGGCGGTAGCAATGTTTCGATTGATTCATATGTATTTTCTACCGTAGAATACGATTATCGTTACCCGTACTTTGTAAAAGTTGTAATTCATTTTTTAATTTAACAATTTGTGAAAAAAAAAATTTTTCTTACATTTTCCTTTATATCTCCTTTCCTGTGCATTTTTAGCATTATGCATGTAAATAGTTTTTTGTTTCTTAATTAATTATCTACAAAATGTGATCTGGTGTGATACTCCAAGTGCCATTGTTAACCTGCAAATTGTTTTGAAAGTTGAAAAAGTGCGTTTTTTTAAACATTCAATATCTCAACAATTAAAATCCCTAAGAGCTTGAAATTCTTAGAAAATGTTGCTATTACTAATATAAATAACTGCACCAAATTCTAAAACGATCGCTTATTTAGAGTTATTAACGATCAAAATTTTTTTTCGAAGCTTAATTGCATAATGCGCCAAAGTTGCTGTGATCGTCTAATTTTGATCCAACTGATCTAAAAATTAAAAAAACTATTTAAATTTAATATCCTGTTTAAGTTTTAAAAAAAAAAAAATTAGAGCCTATTTTATAGCGATTTGTTTAACACTAGTAGTTTTAAACACACGTATAAAACTATATAACTTTTGCAAAAATCAATATTGATGATTCTCGTTTGCACAACTTTGAAGCTAGTATTTTTTTATAAATTTAAAAAAAAAAAAGTTGTCCTAGCATGCATGGGAGACGAGATAATTTTTTTTTTTTTGAAAAATTCGTGTAGACGTATTATACATCCTACAGCGGTCAGGTTTGTAGGGATTTAAGTTCAATACTTGTACTTTCTATAAAAAAATATATTGTACCTGCAGCGCATCAAATAGTATAAAACGACAATTGTTGAAGTTGACCGTGCGAGAGCCGAGCGCGCCAGCCGACGTGTGCTGCAGAGGTGGGGGGAGCGGTGGCGGCGGCTCTCCGAGCGCAGCTCGGCGACAAGAGAGCACGTGATTTCAAATCATTCATTCTCGTTAAAATATTATTTTCTTAGCTTCCTCTGCACGTACAAAAATCATTTCGAAATCGATTTATGGTAGCTTGACGATATATTATCGATGGTTATTACTATTTTTATGAACGATTACGGTTTTCCGTCTTTATCAGTTGGTTAATGCAAAGCAAATATAATGCACTAAAAAAAAATTTTTCCGTTATTTTCCGTAACATAATGTTGTGTATATTACAAATTCATAAACATTTTTAACTGTTGCACGAATTTTTTCAGCAAGTTCATTACGATAACACGTAAATATTGTGTAACATATAATATAATCATTATTACATTATTTTTTACACAATATTTACGTGTTATCGTAAATATTGTGTAACATATAATATAATGATTATATTATATGTTACACAATATTTACGATAACACGTAAATATTGTGTAACATATAATGTAATAATGATTATATTATATGTTACACAATATTTACGTGTTATCGTAAATATTGTGTAACATATAATATAATCATTATATGTTACACAATATTTACGATAACACGTAAATATTGTGTAACATATAATATAATCATTATTACATTATTTTACCGAACACGACGAATCGTGAGAGGTTTTTTAGAGCACCAAGTGCACCTTTCCGTTGTGCAGCAAGAACTTAATCAGAGAGCGCATTTGGACTGGCTCGGCTTGGCTCTGCCTAAGGCTCCCAAAGTCAGACGCATATACAGCTGATTCAAACACAGGTATACGCCGGCCTCCTTCACTATGTATAT